TATATGTATATATTTCATATACTTTATATATTTTGTTTTTGTATTCCATATTTATTTTCTCTGATGTCTTCTGCACTTTCATAATGAACTTTCAAGATGCGTACAGATATGATGAAATACGATCTCCTTCCTGTAATATTTCAGCCAATACTATATAATGTGGCCTTCAATGAAAGTACTTTGCTTTCTAAGATACCAGGTTAGAAACTACCTTTGAGTGACAGTCACATTAGATAACACAAGATCTGTGAAGTTTCTTGTTCTGAATTTTCCAGTCTGCTCTGCTCAATCTAAATTTAGTCAGTTTGATTACTTGGGATATGTTATTGTCCTTACTGTTCAGACAAATTCTTTTTTATTAACAGAACCTGATTTGTGTCTGGTGAGATTAAAGGATTCTTCAGAAAAAAAACTTCCAAGATTACAATCTCCTACACAGCTTTTCTGGTGAAATTCACCTGCATGCAGGTACTTTTTTTTTTTTTTTTTTGTCAGAATTACAGTATAAATAGGCAAGAACAATCTAAACAATCTTCTAGCAATTTAAATAGAACCTCAACATTTCTATTCAAACTGTACCTTATGATACCCAGACAAAAAAACAAAAACAAAAACAAAAAAACTACACTCCTTCTTAACCCATCTCTGCATATAAAAGTGTCTTTATTTCTACCTTTCATCACTGATTTACATTTTTGCCGTTGTTCAGTTCCTCTGGGTGCAAAGTATGGGTGGGCCAGGTTGGCAGTTTGGAAAGGCATTGATTTCCTCTGCCTCTTATACCTGCCACCCATGCCCTAAAATGTAATGGTCTGGCAAAGAACCACACTTGCTAAAGGTGGAATGAACAGAAAGTTCATGTTGGTTAGCAATAAAGCAAAATGAATATTAAGGATTGGTAAACCAGATACTAAAAGGCATCTGACCTACAGTTCACACTAAACTTGAAACAATCCCCAATCCTATTCTGAGGTTTAAAAAAGTTTGGTTGAATTCAAATACTTTGTACACCTGCGTAGTCACTAGTACTGGTTAGTGCTGGAAGTGCAAAAGTACAAATTCAATGAGAATAGTTGCTTTTTGTACTTCTGAACTGATTGAAAGTAGAAACCCCAAAGTCCATTTCCAGGAAGATATTTCTGTTCATCAAAGCTGATGTCCTTTTTCATGATGACATCTAACAAGAAAATAAGCTATGAAGTCTTCTATAGAAGTACAGACCTCATCTAGAATATTTCATCTGTGGAACCCTCCACTTAAACCATTTAAGTGCAAAAAAAATAGAGCCATAACTCTGGCCCTGCCCTTGCAGCACAAGAAATGATCAGAGGCTTTAAAAAATCTTCTCGCTGAGGTTGTCCATTTCACACATATCAAGCAAGGTGAACTATCACAAATTATTCCCCTACCGCTTCACATTTCGCATTTGAGATTAGTAGATTACTGAGAGCTTGACCACAATCAATTGTGCCAAAATTGGGCCATCAGCTCCATCCAACAATGTCAGTGATATATGTTAGATACCACAACTGGTTGGTGAAGAATATTCTCAAAAGATCTAGTAATGCCATATGATCCCCTCTGGGGGATTCTTTTGCTATGCATGAGAATTGCAAGTTTTCTCTGGAGCATTTTCATATAAAGTGCATCTAGATCTGTTATCTTGACTCTCTAATTGACCCTAATTCACCAGACCCATTGCCTTCGCACAAAGAATCATCATCCATCTATGTCAGCATAAAACACCACATCACAAGAGAGACAGAACTCCCACTTGATTATATTTAAAAAGAAGCCCAACCCTGTAACCTCCCCCTTTCCTGGAAATTGCTCATTCCCTAAGCACACCGAAATATACAAGTTTAAAAAAAGACTAAGAGAACTAACGTTTAAAAAGGTGAATAGAAAAATAAGCTCTCTCTTAACTTAAACAAAAAAGCAATTCTGGGATAAAAGGGAAAGTCTTCTTATGGTTCAGTAGCTGATGAAAAGTTGGGAAAGAAAGGTAGGAATAATGTTTCTCACAGTGCAGACAAGTAAATAGTGGGGTGCCCCAAGAATTAATACTGGGACAAGTGCACTTCAACAACATATTCATAAATCACCCAGAAACGGGGGTGAACAGCAAGATGGCAAAAAGGGCAGATGATACAAAGTTCCTCAAGGCAACTAAATTAAAAGCTGACTAGACAGAGTTACATACATTCGTGAAGTCATTCTGCCGCTCTACTCTGCACTAGTTAGGCCTCAGCTGGAGTACTGTGTCCAGTTCTGGGTGCCACATTTCAAGAAAGATGTGGAGAAATTGGAAAGGGTACAGAGAAGAGCGACAAGAATGATTAAAGGTTTAGAGAACATGACCTATGAAGCCAGGCTTCATGAACTGGGCTTGTTTAGTTTGGAAAAAAGAAGATTAAGGGGGGACATGATAGCGGTTTTCAAATATCTAAAAGGGTGTCACAAGGAGGAAGGAGAAAATTTGTTCCTCTTGGTTTCTGAGGACAGGACAAGGAGTAATGGGCTTAAAGTGCAGCAGGGGAGGTTTAGATTGGACATTAGGAAAAAATTCCTAACTGTCAGGGTGGTCAAATATTGGAATAAATTGCCAAGGGAGGTGGTGGAATCTCCCTCTCTGGAGATATTTAAGAACAGGTTAGATAGACATCTGTCAAGGATGGTGTAGGTGGAGCTTGGTCCTGCCTTGAGGGCGGGGGGCTGGACTCGATGACCTCTTGAGGTCCCTTCCAGTCCTATTATTCTATGATTCTATGAAGACCAAAAATATCATAGTGCCACTATAAAAATCCATGGCACATATACACCTTCAATAAGACATGCAGTTCTGGTCACCCCACCGCAAAAAAGATATATTGGAGTTGGAAAAGTACAAAGAAGGGCAACAAAAATGATTAGGGGTATGAAACAACTTCCATATGAAGAGAGAAAAGGCCAGGACTGTTCATTTTAGAAATGAGAAAACTTAAGGAAGATATGGTAGAGGTCTATAAAATCATGAATTGTGTGGAGAGAGTGAACAGAAAAATATTATTTACCCTCGTCACATAAATCAGGAACCAAGGCTCACTAAAAAAATGAATAGGCAGCAAAACTAACATAGGGAAATACTTCACACAACACAGTCAGTCTGTAGAACTTGTTGTCAGGTGATGGTGTGAAGACCAAACTATATGGCTGTGTCTACACTGGCATGAATTTCCGGAAATGCTTAAAACGGAATACTATTCCGTTTTCAGTTTTTCCGGAAAAGGAGCATCTACATTGGCAGGCTGCTTTTCCGGAAAAGCTCTTTTTCCGGAAAAGCGTCCGTGGCCAATGTAGACGCGCTTTTCCGGAAAAGAGCCCCGATCGCCATTTTCGCGATCGGGGCTTTTTTCCGGAAAAGACTACTGGGCTGTCTACACTGGCCCTTTTCCGGAACAGTGTTCCAGAATAAGGACTTAGGCCCAAGCGAGAGCAGAATAGTTTTTCCAGAATAGCGACTGATTTTGTACAGTAGAGCATCGTTGCTTTTCCGGAAATTCAAGGGCCAGTGTAGACAGCTCGCAGCTTATTCTGGAAAAGCGGCTGATTTTCCGGAAGAAGTGGCCCAGTGTAGACACAGCCTAACTGTGTTCAGACAAGAATGAAAAGCTCCTGGAGGACAGGTCCATCCTAACAGAAGACTGTACTTGCCTGAACTTTTAAGGAAAGGAAGTGTTCAGAGTTAACTGTGATCAAGAATGTGACTATTTTTACATTTATAGTGAATATATTTACATGCCCAGGTTATCATGGGCAGTAGAACACCAGAGCACTGTTTATAGCTAACATATTTGTTCAATGAAATTATATGTTTAAAATAACTTTTTATATGGGAGTTGCAAGGTCCACACAGAACATGGAAACTGATTAAATTAAACATACCCTCTCATGTGTAGAGAGATATTAATCACTCAGATTTTGCTCTGAGTCCTAAATTACAAAAATAATGAAGGTAGAGACAGTGGAATGCACAAATAGACCAGAGTACCAACAAAACCTAAGTTTGCATAATTTTGGATAAACAGTACCCCTCAAATTGCTGGGAGTCAGATATTACATTGCAATGGGCAAGCATAAAAATGAAGAAGCAACTAAGCTTGTCCAAGAAGAGTCTAGGAATATATCTGCAGTCTAGGAATATTTCTGCAGAGATGAAAAGCTGACTTGTTACAAGTACTATATGGATATGACTGAATCTATAAAGTTAAAGCACTCAAAGCTGGTTGCAAGAGGGATGCTATCTGCACTACAACAACCTCTAAAGGAATTCCCTGTGGAACAACCAAAAGCAATTCTGTTTTATTTCACACTAATCAGGACTGTGGTAGATTGTGAACTGCTGTGACAGATAAAACTAGTAAAAGCAAGTACATCTGAAAACTAATATCTGATATGATGATAAAAGAAAGTGCTGAGATAAGTGTAAAAGATTTGGAATAAATGAAATGTAGAAGGCAGAAAAGAGAGGAACAAATCGCTGTTTGTTCTTATGTTCTTATGTCAGATTTCAGCACAGAAAAGAAACCCTGACTACATGTTCACTCTACCTGTCTAACATTAGAGTTTCCATTATTTGGAAGAATTCTCTAAGGTAAGCCAAAATATGAAAATTACTCTGTTAAGGAAAATACAAAAGAGGAGCGGATCTATTTTTATTTCTTGGTCTCTAGATATAAGTGATCATACCCTCTTTCTAGTGGGTAAAAATACACACTGAAATGAATTTGATCCTGTTCTCAGATGTGCAGGGGTGTCTGGACAATATCTCATTTTGCATTTAAGACATGGATTGAGCCCTTAAAAAACTGAAACTGGAAGGTGAGAGAGGAATGGCCATGTGACTGGCAAATGGTTAAGGTCAACTTAAATTGTTAAAAATGGCAGCTCCCTCCGGTAAGTGAAATGAGCTAGATTGGGAATGACGCGTATGAGACTAGTAAATTGACACGGGCACTTACATTTCCACAATGCTCTCTGGTAGGTTAGATGGAATTTCTGTTAAGCCCTTGCCTCGACAGTCCACAATGTTGTTGCTGCATGTGCAAGCGGATGGGCAAGTGATGGAATTAGCATTGCAGGATGGAGGTTCAGAGTGGGAACCTGAGAAGGTAAAGACAGCACCAAAATGATCAAGATTAGGTTTGCAAACTCATCATTTATTATTTTAACAATGAAAAATACAGCGGTCAATGAGTTTTCATTTCTCATTTACAGAATAAGTGGTAATCCCTTTGGATTAAATTAATTTATTATTGTGCCACAAATCAACTTCAGAGAAAATGCACAGAATATTATATTTTTACTATTACATAACCTCAATGTTATTAATTTATTGTTTTCCCTGATCTTTTTTACATTAGCCACATATTTCCATTTATTATTTCAATCTAAATTTGGAAAATGAAAGCTTAATATCCAGGAATACTTCCAAAGAATGAGGTCTAATTCAGTACTGAATAATTTTGTTAGAAACACGATGTGAGTCAATCTCTGGGGTTGTTTAGGAAAAGTCAGGACAACGAGCTCAGAATATACAGTATCGGAAAACATTCTCGTTCATTGGCTGAGGAAAAGGCTAACTGACCCAGTATATATTTTGCTCCTGCAGTTTCTACAAGATTTGCAAACTTTTGAAATTGCACATACTAGTTACGAGATGGAACCATTTTATTGCTAAATAAAGTACAAAGGATGAGTATAGCATACTAATTGTCACAATATCAGGCAATGTAATGGATGAAGAGAAAAAATTACTCATAACATTAAGAGCTCTGTATTGTAAACCTTTATTCAATCCTGTAGTCTCACTGGCGACAAGGAAGCTATTCATTGGGGGTCAAGTTTTATGGATGGAACCATCTAGTTGTACACATTCAAAACAATTAATTAAGTGCACATTAAATTTTACTCTCATTAACGTTTCTAAAAGCTTATCACTTTCTCCAATGTCAACCTAAAAGTTACAATTCACACATATTTTTGTATCATGCTATAATTAGATAGAGAGATAGAGAAAGAGAATGAGAGAGAGAGAGAGAGAGATTGAGATGGACACAAAGATATATTCTGTGTGGTGGAAATCATTTTTAAGCCTATCAAATTTTACAAATGATTGAAAGGTCTTGAGCTTCAAAGGGGTGTCCAAGTTAGTCTGTAATTGGAAAAACTTAAAAAACAATAAATAGGCTTGCAGCATCTTAAAGACTAAAAAAACATGTAGATAGTATCCATAAGATTTCATGGGCACAACCCACTTCTTCACAGGTCTTGGTCAAAGTTCCAAAAATTACATACAATTTCAGGAACTGAAGATATTTTTTGGAATTATGAGGAAACATACACAGCTGACCAAAACCTGCTAAAATGTGATAGTCTTAATTAAAACAGCTTATTCCTCAAGGCTGGGAGTTGAGCTGATTGGGAATTTTTCATGGAACCTTTTTCCATCAGTAAATGCCAGTCACTCAAAATTGAAACTTTTCAAGAAAAGTTTTATCAGGAAAATTTGTCAGATCAAAAATGGGGGTACAAAGAGACCCTCTGCAAAATAGCCATTATGCCAGTGGTCAGAACACTTTTATGGGATGTTGGAAACTTGGGTTTAGCCTAGCTTTGCATAAGAGAGAATAGGGATTTGAACCTGTTCTGCATCCCAGATGAGTGCCCCTAACTACTGGACACTCTCAAGGACAGATCTCTCTTTCCTTCATTTTTTTAAGAAAAATGTGAAAGGTCTAGTATTGGTTCCCATATGGAATGAAACCAAACACCAAAACCTCATTTTTTTCATGAAAATTCTATTTTCTTGCCAATCCTAGATGAGATACAAAGAGGCAGTGGCAAAATATTAACAAAGTGATGAAAAGCAGTAGAACATGTTCAGTCAAGAAATTATATTCCTTTGGTTACAAAACACTAAATAAACTCCTTATTGTTTAAATCACAAATTACAGACGACATGTGGAAAGTCATAAACGAAACTCTAACATTCTTTAGGTTTGTGTTTAATTAGAAACATGCAATATATTAAGCCAAGGATTGGAACTGTAATTGGCCATATGGTCCAGAAGGTCTTATTCTCATAAAATATTATTGTAATAACCTGCTTCTTTTGATCTTCATCTGCAGACCATCCAGATTATAGCAAAACCTTAATTGTGGAAAGCCAGCAGTTAACTTGAACACTTTGTCACAAATACCTTTCATCAATCCTACGTGTGTTTGTGTTTATACATACACATCCCATTTGACCACTGTAGGGAAGAGTAACTGAATGCAGGGTAAACACCTACTGGGTGGAAAAAGTTATCTTGCAAAATACAGTATTTAAGACAATAAAACTTGGTTTCAATGACCAGTGGGATCAGATGACTTTCTTCTATCCGGAAAAGAATAACTTCTAGGCACTGTTGGTTCAATGCTCTGCTATTCGCAAATAAATACTATACTGGTAAGTTCTGTGAGTTGTGGATGGGTTCACAAGTGGCTGAAATACAGCTCCAAACATCTCCACAGTTGAGATGAAGATTGGGCAAATACCTGAGATTTGCATACAACTCCCATATATCACCTAATATAAATGATGGATAAATAAAAGCACAGGGGTAAGTAACATGCATCATATCATCCCATATCAGAAAGATGCTTAGATTGAAATGGCTATAAATGTCATGATTTTGAAATGTAGATCCTGTTACCAAAAGCTGCAAAATGAAAACAGCTAGTGATTGGCCTTACACATCCAGGGTGGAAGTCTCTTGACACAAGGAAAAGAGAATTACTGCAAACTTGTACTGTCTGTCTGAGAAATGTCAGAGATTCCATTGAGAATTGGTATCTGTGTGCTTGAATTTCCATTAGCTCAAACAGATTGTGTCTGATGGTCATCTCTCTTCTGAGCTGTCAATATTATGTGGCTAGGAAGAGTCAGAAAATAGGGAAGGAGAGACAATATCAACATTGACTTACACTCTGAGGCATGAGGATCTTAAAAGTGAGTAAAAAAGTGTTCACTCAACTTTTATAGTAGTTTCAATTTCAACAGAATTAATGTAAGGTTTATTTCAGAGTCTGTCTTTGAGACAGCTGTCTATTTCAAGTTTTCTCACATTTCCGTTTTTTAAACAGACCCTAACAATTTTAACTATCATCTTAACTATTTCATATGAAAGAATTACACAACTGTAATTTAATTTTCATTTTTAATTATTATTATTATTATAGGCGGACTAGGTGGCAACGATCAGTTACCTGAAAACATTGTTTTCAGTTGCTCGTAACTTTGGTAATTTTAATCATTTGGAATAAAATTTTGTATGACAGGTATCTGCCTTGGACTGATTTTTTTTTAATTTCTTTGCCTTTATGTGTTCAGAGCAGAGATCCCATTGATTACAGATGCTGCTGTGAGTAATCAAACTTCTGCCAGTCAACCCAGTTAAGATCTCAGCTCAGGCACCCAAGGAAATGAGAAACACACACAATAAGTGTCAAACCAGTAAGTAAGGTTTGATTTAAGTGATTTGACTAGTATCACACAAAAACTCCATAGAAGTATTTAAGTGCTTTGACTATGAGTCCATTTTCCTCCCCTTCCTACAATTCCCGGCCTCATTCACTATACACTTTTAAACTTCTGCAATGGTCTTACAAAGTCTCCATTGCTACACAATTCTCATTCATTCTTTGAGCAGGGATATTCCGAGCACTGAATGAAAAAGGAGTCCTGTAGAAGAAGTAGAATGTGATCATGCCATTAACGACAATGACATATGCATATGCAAATGAGGGCTGAATTAAGTTTGCACCAGCAATCTTAATTCTGGCATAGCCTAAATTCTGAGTGCTTGACTTTGCAACCTTAAGAATATTATTTTGACATAGTTTTGTGTATAATATACTATTTATATTGCACCAACATTTAAACACTTCAGATACAATGGGGCGTCATTGCACTATTATGTCTAAACACATAGTGAGAGACAATTCCTGTCCCAAATAGTTTACAATCTAAAGTTAAAACCAAACAGGACAAAGGTCCATTCCATTAGGGGCTTTCTTCTGGTTTAAAACCAGAAGGCCAATCCTCAGTTGTTCTGAATCAATAGAGCACCTTTAAAGTCAATGGAGCTATGCCAAGTTACACCAGCAAAACAACTAGCACTAAATGTATGTCCTAAAAATATCTGTCTTCCTAAATCATTGCATCTCTTTTGAATACTGGAAATTTCCTGAGCTCCTTTTACTTATTTTAGTGTACATCTAGACTGCGTTGCTCTTTTGGGATACTGGAAGTATCCTGAAATAGCAATGCTGCATCTTTAAAAGCACCCACTATTTCCCAAAATATCAAGAACACTATTCCGGCATACCTTTAGCCCTCGTTCCATGAGGGTTAAGTGATTTGTCGGAACAGTGCCTTATTTTGAAATTTGACACTGTATAGACAGCGCCAAATTTCAAAATAAGCTCTTTCAATTTAGACTCAGAATAAACTACACAATGTGTGTAGAGCAAATTGCATAGCTTATTCTGACAGAAGGGTCTATCTAGATGCACCCTTAGGCTATGTCTAGACTATATCCCTCTGTCAATAGAGGGATGCAAATCAAGCACAAAGAAATTGCTAATGAAGCTGGGATTTAAATATCCCGTGGCTCATTAGCATAAACATGGCCACCGCTTTTTTTTTAAACAGAGTTTTTCCAAAAAAGAACCCCCTGCAGTCTAGACACGGATCTGTCAAAAATAAACCTTTTCGACAGATCCTGTATTCCTCAAAAAACTAGGTTTACAGGATCTGTTGAAAAAGGGCTTAATTTTGACAGATCCACGTCTAGACTGCCTTTTATTTTTAAAAAACTCCATTTAAAAAAAAATTGGTGACCATGTTTATGCTAATGAGGCACGGAATATTTAAATCCCGGCTTCATTAGCAATTTCAATGTGCTAGATGTGCATCCCTCTATCGACAGAGGGGTGTAGTCTAGACATAGCCTTAGAGTGGGGCAGAGGTATTAGCTATCTTTCCATGAAAACAAAATGTTTCAAAATTCACTCTATCAGACTCTATATTTTTCCTTCTATGTTTTCTGTTCACA